CTTCTTCTTCTTCTTCTTCTTCTTCTTCTTCTTCTTCTTCTTCTTCTTCTTCTTCATTTATTGGTCATTGTATCCTAGCTTGTAAAGCTGTCATTTTGAGACCTGTGCATATAAGCATTTAGCTCACTTTTCCCCTTTTGTCACGTATAAATGTTATTTTTGCTTCATATTTTCAGCATTCCCTCAAGATCCAGAAATTGAGATGAGTAGTCTACTAGTGAGTGGGGAGCCTGTCACTGTGAGCTGCAAGGTTCCTCTTGTGTACCCTTTTGACCACTTGGAGATTGAAATATATAAAGGGGAAACCCTTATGATGAGTAAATACTTCTCGGAGGAAATTAATATAAAATCTCTAGAGAACAAAAGTTTGGAAATGACCTTCACCCCCACCCCTGAAGATACTGGAAAAGTTCTTGTTTGTCAGGCTAAGTTACATGTTGGGGAAGTGGAATCTGAACCCAAACAAAGGCAGAGTACACAGACCCTTTATGTCAACGGTAAGTACATATGTGATGTACCCACAACTTAATATTGATTTCTTTATCATGTTTACCAGGCAATAGTTAACATAAGGTTAAGTTAAAACCTCTGTGGTAAAAAAAAACTGAACAGAAAATTTAAAATAATTACTAGAGCTCCTCATGTGAAATGGCTATTTTGTTTTGATTCTATGAGTTGGCATTAGGGGGTAAACTAGCTGGGCAGTTATTCTGCTCAGTGTGGTAGCAGCTGAGCTCACTTGTGTATTTTCAGTCAGGTCCGCAGGGCTGGCTGGTCTCAGATGGCATCATTTGAATGACTGGCATATCCAGGACCCCCTTTCTTCCTGTGGTGTCCCCATCAGGGAAGTTAGCTTAGATTTTCTCTCTGGAGCACAGCATTTCAAGAAGGTGATAGTAGAAGTAGCCTCTTAAGGCCACAGTTTGGGAGTTCAGTAGTGTTACTTTGTCCACTTTCCATTGGTCAAAATGAGTCATAAATCTGGCCCAGATTCAGAGAGAGAAAAATAGGCTCCACTTTTTCACGGAAGGGCTTCATATATGCAATGGTCATGTTTAATGTACTCTACATGGCAATACGCTTATCATTTGCTCATCCATGCTTTGGTAGCAAGAGTTTCTGCGGGGTTTACTTCCATTAGAGAATTTCCAAGCTTTGTCCATGTCATTCTGCACCTACTGGAATAAGTGGGGTCAGAAACCCAGGATTTGTAAATACTCCACTGAATCCAAAGCCCCGTTTTGCAATATTACTGAAAGCTGATGGGACTCAGGGTATAAAGTGTCAGCTAATAGGTGCCTCTATCTTTTTAGTTGCCCCTACAGGTACTACTGTCTTGGTCAACCCCTCCTCTATCCTAGAGGAAGGCAGTTCTGTGAATATGACATGCACTACCCATGGCCTTCCAGCTCCAAAAATCCTATGGAGCAGACAGCTCAGTAATGGAGATCTACAGCCTCTTTCTGAGAATACCACTCTCACCTTAATTTCCACAAAAATGGAAGATTCTGGCATTTATGTGTGTGAAGGGATTAACCAGGCTGGAGTAAACAGGAAAGAAGTTGAACTAATTATCCAAGGTAAGTATTGTGTGGTTTGAAGTTATTATTGCTAGTTATTTTTTGGTTGTTAGTTACAAAAAAGAAATCCTCTTTGAAAACAACATTTTTGCTTTAAAAAGATACTGAGGGTTCTTAAAAAGTTCATGATGTTTCCTATGCATGGAGATCTCCTGCTTGAACCATACCAAGTCACTTGTGCTGAAATTCTTTTAACCTCAAGTGAACCACTAGCTCCAGGAACTGTACCAGGAGTTCTAGCGACACTTATGAGACTGCGGTTATGGTGCTGAAATAAGGATAGGAAAAGATATATATGTACCTGCAAATTATTTAGGATTAAAATCACCATATCAGGTTGAATTAGACAGTGAGGAGTAATCTCACAAGATGACCACTAGTATTTGCTTAGAAGCCTAAGAAGCTTAGGCAGCTTTTGTAAATTTTGATGATTCAGAACAGCATTGACTATGATGCCATCTTGTTTATCAGTCTGGTGGCATGGAACCACCAGGGTGGATCAAGTCGTCAAATACATGCCTCTCCTCCAGGGTGAAGACCCCAAAATTGATGCAAACAATTTCTACATGATACATTGGACCCATAGACAGTTATGGGCGAGATCATGCAGTGATTGATTCAGTTTATCCATCCCTTCCTTTTTGGCCATTGGGGTTACTTTCTTCACCAAGCCTCTCATTTTTTCTTCCCCCCGCTTGACAATATCCTCACTAAGGTATTTGTGACTTACTTTGACCTAATGTCAATGAGAGTTGTATTTTAGAAAGACCTTGGAAGGGAAATTTACAACCTTAAAGAAAATTTTTACGTTAGATGTCATGGCGCTTTGGCCTTGAAGAAAATGTCTTAAATGAAGTCACAGAATTGGTGACTTTAGCAGAAATCTCAATTATGAAATAGTGATATAATTCTTCCCTCCAAGAATGATGACATTAATGGAGATGTTGGATGTCAAATATTTAGTCCAGTCCTTAGAACTTGATAAATAGGAGTTGTGTTGTGAAGGCAGTAAAAATGCCATATTTTTACAGTTTAAATTCTTGATCTGGGAGGACAGAGCTCCCTGTGAAACACCATTATTTGTGCTAGGTTGGGTAAAGAAGTGTATTAAGGAAAATTAAAGAGGCATGTCTTCTCGTGTTTAGAACATGGACATTCATGAGAAACCAGTAAGTACTTGACTTCTTGCCTCTAACGTTTCACATGAACAGTAAGCACAGATAGCGGCTACCGTTGTCATTAAATTAATATGACACTGGTTTGAATTTCATTTAATCAGAGATACTCTTAAAATTCTCTTTTCAGTTGCTCCAAAAGACATACAGCTTACAGCTTTTCCTTCTGAGAGTGTCAAGGAAGGAGACATGGTCATTATCTCCTGTACATGTGGAAATGTTCCAGAAACTTGGATAATCCTGAAGAAAAAAACAGAGGCGGGAGACACCGTGCTAAAGTCTATAGATGGTGCATACACCATCCACAAGGTGCAGCTGGAGGATGCGGGAGTATATGAATGTGAATCTAAGAATAAAGCTGGCTCAGAATTAAGAAGTCTAACACTGGATGTTAAAGGTTGGGTTTTTTTGTTTTGTTTCTGTAACTGGTTGTAATTGTTCAGAGGGTCCATGGATGCTAGCCAATTCCTAATATCAGATGAATGACTCAACAAAATGAGTGGATTGTGTATTCATTATGTTTATTTCTTAATGTTCCTCAAAATAATCAGGCACAGCTGTTCTGTCCCACAGAGTTGAGTCAGGAAGTTGATGTTAATCATTGGTGAAAGTGGAATTCACATTCGCTTTTTTTTAAGTCAACAATTCATCATCGGTGGCTATGGTCTTACTTTTACTGTGTTTAAACATGTGTTCAAAACCTTTCCCTGGGAGTTAAAAGGAAACTATAGAAGTAGGATTGGCACATCAAGAAAAGTAATTCTTTCCAGGTCCTCTTCCTACCTGAAAGGAACACTGTTTTCTTAACATGGAGTAACTGCATATTTTCTGGGTTGACTCTTTTCAGTATTATTTTTGAAAATAGCTATCCTGATCCTGAGCAACATAAATAGATCTCCAGGCTACAGAACAGGTTTCTTTAAGTACACACCCCTGACCATCCTACCCTTCTCTAATAGAGAGCAAGGGCAGGACAGTGGTCTCCTCGGAGAATTTCAGGGGCCTCTTAATGTCCTATCCCCTCTTGTGAAGCTTCCATAGGAAGATCTATTGATCTTATTGGTGTAAGCAGAACATGTCAACCTTGACTTATCAGTCTCATGCTCCTTGCACACTCGTTAGCTCTTAGTGTGTACTGGAAGCCATGCTTGGTGGTGAACACAGCTGCAAATGCCAACTCTTAAGAGGTCTAACACTTGACTGTCAGCAACCTCTTCTCAATGTAGAGAAAATTTGGACCTGCATCAGAAAACAGGAAAAACGCTACTGATGTGGCCAACTTTCTCAAGATTACAAGACTTATTATATCTTTTCTGTCTTTACAGTACCTCCTCAAAACATGACAATATCAATACATCCATCTAGACATGTTAAAGAAGGGGAAAATATCACAATTACACGTAAAACTTTTAGTCATCCACCTGCAGTGATTATCCTGAAAAGAGTTGATCTGGCCAAAGAAGTTATTCTATGTTCAAACAATGGAACATTTACCTTGCATCATGTAGCTCAGAATGAGTCAGGGGTATGTGTAACTAGTGCTTCCAGTGAGGCTGGGGATGACTTTGGACAGCTTGAGGTCTCAGTTATGAGTAGGTTGAGCTTCATTCGTTCCTATTTTCTCTTATTCTTGATGCCTCTGGCCACCTTCAACTTAGCTGACCCCCAGGAAAGTGAACTCCTCCATTTCTGCAATTCTGTTTATAATTAATTGTTCTCTTTTGAAGACATATTAAAACTTCTTCATTGTTTAGCTTTCTCTTTCACACATTGCCTTTTCTAAATGCTTTGCTGATAATTCCCTTACTTGAAACTTTTCCCCCATTATTTAAATAATCAACCAAAAAATATTAGGCACCCAAATTGACTATGCTTACAATAGCTTGATATCATTGAAGTAAAAAACTGAAAATTTCCTAGATATTTTAAACTAGTTTTGCTTTGTATTTTGTTTTTTAATTTTTTTGTTGTTGTTTTGTTTGGGTTTGAATGCATTCCCCTGATGGAAACAGTGAGGCCTTGTTAAGATATTCAGGGTTCATGTAGCCAATAAAAAATCTTACTAGAAGAATGCCCTGGCAACAGCTTCGGCAGCAAATTTGAGATTTTTCTGCAGATGCTTGAGGAAAAAACTGAAAGACTAAAAATAATATTTATGAAATTAAAAAGAAAACAATAGGGACAGAAATACCTTCGTGTAGCATGTCATCAATATTAATGCCTAACCATAATTATGGTGATGAGTATCCCATTAAAATATTACTCAATCCTTGACTGGCTCAATGTTATCAAGGGAAAGCAGGAAAAGGAGGCAATTATTATTATGCTTAGGGTAAAGTGTTTTTTCTTCAATAATTTGAAAAAATTAGGGGCTGGGGATTTAGCTCAGCAGCACAGCACCTGCCTGGCAAGCGCAAGGTCGTGAGTTCAATTCCCGGTACTGGAGAAAAACCAAAAAAAGAAAAAAAAATTAACTTCATATCAACTGTTGCTAACATTTTATTTACTTGAGTGACTTTCAGTATTTAGAAAGCTCTAGAAGGGATGCAGTGGTGACCAAATTCAGATCATTCATTCCTGCCAACATTTACGCCACTTTGGGAAACTTCACTACGAGGTCATACACTTCTGTGCAAGGTATAAATAGAAACCGGTCTTCAGGAAATGCTGTGGTTTCTTCCTGAAACAGTCGTGCTCTAAATGTTATAAGGATTTTCTTTGAAAGCTGGTTAGTTACCTCAACCCATGGCGACCACAGTCTCTGTACTTTAGGATATATTCCTGTATCTCAAAACAAACACCCCTTTCCAATTTCTGCTTTTGTAAAGGATCCCTAAAATCTTGCACACTCTCTTCCACTTTATACCCAAAACTGAACCACTTTTAATTCAAGTTTGTGAAAGTCAACAGCTGTGATCTTTAGATCCATTATGACCATAGCAGCCACCACCTAATTATCTGGATAATTTAGAGAAATATGCATCTGAGCTCCTTTTCTTCTTTATTGTACTAGTTTGATTCCTTTCTCTTTAGAGAACTAGTTGTGCTGTTACATTAAAACATGTATCACTAGTGAATGATTTCTTTTTCTACTAGACATTAATTGCACCCATTTGCTTATTTTCTAGGAAGAGAAAATAACAAGGACTATTTTTCTCCTGAACTTCTTGTTCTGTACTGTACCTCGTTCTTAATAATACCTGCCATCGGGATGATCATTTACTTTGCAAGAAAAGCCAACATGAAAGGATCATACAGTCTCGTAGAAGCACAGAAATCAAAAGTGTAGCTAATCTTTGAAATGTTGAACTAGGGACACTATTTATAAATCCCAAAATACTGCTCATCATTCCACAAGAAAAACACAGAGCTGAGTTCGGACTTCTCAGAATGAATTAAAAACAGAAAACAATGGCCCCTTGTGCCCCTTGCTGTGAGCAAGAAGCCAACAGAAAACTTAGTGCCTGAAAAGTCACTGCCATTGAGATGAGATGACCGGAAGAGTTTCTCCGATGTGTACATAAAATAATACTCTGTACATATGTAAAATAAAATTATGCCATAGCACGACTGCTTGGAATAGCAGCACCCTGCCTTCAGATCATGGGAATAATTAAACCGTGTGCTTGGACTGACTCTTAATAACTTAATATATCTGAGGGAAATTTAATTGTTAACATTGACTGGCAGCTGACCTAAGTGATCTCTCTAATATTTTGTTTCTTTTAACAAGATCTTATTCTTATAAAGTTTATTGAAATAATTTCATGCTTTATGAAGAAGCTAGGGACTCACATTTGTACAGGAGAATGATGAAGGGGCACTGGGTTGGCTTTTAGGTACTAAATGCCTCAATCTACAGTGTGCTGGTTGACTGGGCTCCTCTGCATGGTACTGGCGTGGTACGGAGACGTTTTATAACGTTTATTCATCTGAATCTTGTGTAACTTCACTGATGGGAGTTTTAAAATGCAACTTCTTTTTATTTTCTTTTGTAAATGTTTAGTTTTTTGTGTAGTAAAGTGACCATTTCTGGCAGTGGAAGAGTTGTGTGTTTATTTATTATAAATACCTCCTTTAATTATGTTATAGCTCTTTTTGAAATGCTACTTAAAAGGGCAAAAGCTTCAAACAATGGAAATAATACACATACTCGAAATGTGGTCTTCAGATTACTTTTATCAAAATCACGATGTGGACTTGATAAAAATTCTCTTGGTGTCATCCTACCCTAGTGAACTGAGATATCTGATTTTGGGTCCCTAGAATCTGCAGTTTTTCATTTAAAATGTATATAGCAGTGATGCGAAACTTTTAGAGACCACGTGTCAAACTTTAACCCCAAATCCACTTTTTTTAAAATCACAAAATGCCAACACTGTAATTAAACCTGAATATTGAGATTATAGTTTAGAAAAAACAATTCTGACAT